CCAAGCCTTAGTAAGCTGATAAATCCGCCGTGTGAGGTGCTTTACTTGGCCTGTACAGTGGAGTATCGAAACCCATTAATGTGCGTGAGTACCTGCAGTTAGCGGTCGATGAATTGTACGACGTGGTATGCAAAGGTTTTCGGTTAACTGCCAAGTTTGATGCTACAAAAATCGTTCTGAAACCGCGTGATTACCGACGCACCTGCACAAGCATACATTCGGCAAGTGAAACAAGCTTCCGAGTAGTTTGCATGTGAGCAATGAGCAACCAGGGATAAACAATGCATCACGTTTGATTCACAGTTGCAAATGTGCATTTTAGTGGTGGATTAACTCCGTACGGACATTAATAGCTCATGACTTAATGACAAGGATTTTAGAATTCGCCAACAAACAAAAAATTACAGCGGAAACTGGCCTTTCAAGGCTCTGCGCCTTGATATAGTAAGTTGTTTTCTGCTTGATTACATGCACACCATGTGCCTGGGGAAACACAGTAGTTACCAACGCTATGGCGCTGCGGCTTGACACGTGGTGAATTACGATTGTCAGCAACATCTATTGAACGCATCAACGACCAATTTCGCATGTGTTCGGGTAATCCGTGTTTGAAGTTTACTCGTTAGTATCTCATGTTTGAGGACGCAAAACGGTGGAGGACCATTGAACTCAGTTTCGGTTGTATATGGGTCTAGTCTTTTGCGCAGCGTGTTGTACAAACACCTGTAAAATAATTTTGTTCTGTTGGCTGTTATTGCATACTGTGCTGCCGTAGGGGATGCTCCTATTACCTGTCGCACGCGAACTCTGTTTTGATTCAGGCGGTGCGTGACATCGCAAAGCCGTACGTTGGGGAGGAGGTATTACTTAACGTAAACCGTTTGGGGCATGTATGCACCTATGGCTAACATTTCAGCATTTCCTTTCTAACTGTTACTACGGTTTCTTCGAGTAATCATAAATTGCCCGAAGCCGGCGCTGTCGAAAATCTTTCGGCGCTTGTCGCAGAGAAGAATAGCGTAGGACAGAGGACACCTGTTGTTTTGACGACGCTGTATCGACCGTAGTTTGCGTCGCGGTAAGCGACAATCTGGTTTCTTACCTATCGGTGCGCTGACTACGAGCGCACAGCCAGCTAATGCCGTCATCGCACGTAGCAGGCCTTCGCTAGCGCGGGGATAGCAGTCAACTGAAGTATGTGTGCGCTGTTTCACACAGGCCACATGTCAGTTCTTAAAAGAATTCGCGTCCACCGACGTACGTTTTTAAACGTTGGGGTTCCTTAGCTCGACCAACATGTACGTACTTTCTTTGCAGCTATACTTTGTAAGGCCACACAGCAGAGAGAATAACCCTAACCAGTAGCAGGCACTCTAACCCAGTTCAGTCTGGTTGCCCGTGCTAGTGCAGCTGCTAATGACACACACAATCTATGCCAAGAATTAAAGATGGATATCATTGTCCAAACTGTGGAAACACGCTCATGCTTTTTGAAAACTCACGGTACAACAGCTGTTCGCTTCCCTGTACATGGCTTGTCGCATAAGGCACCTGTGTATGAAGTGTACTTTCTTGTCAGCAAGATAACATGCTTTGGGACAATATGGAACAATAACGTTTGCAAACGTACAACGACGTGGGCGTTTGCGCGGCGCCGTCACCTGTAACCTGATGCCAATAGGCACTGGTGTTAATTGCCCACGTAGGCGGTCATCTGTTTCAAATTTAACTACCTGTACGCATGTTGCTGTTATGACGTTTCATACCCCGTGGACTGTGCAGACTGCATTATCTCCGTAGATCTTTCCATGGTCTGCAAGCGGTGTGGCACCCGGTGCGGTAATAACGAAGTCGTAAGGAACCTCTACTGTAGTACTACACTTAGGATGCTGACTTGAGTTCCGGTCGGGTAGCCTTCGCTTTTTAAAGCCGAGATTATGCACCTTGCGCGGAGGCAAAAATTGCTCTATGCGATACATCATGCGATGCCCTGGATTAGATTTGGTAGTGGCTTAGCGAATCGCGGACTAGGTAAGAAGGTGCAAGCGTATAATGATGAAGCACGATGTCATTGTTATAATGTTCGCTTACCAAACTTATTGTATGCAGCGGTTAAGGCGACACTTCAACCCCGCCACCACTGCGCGTTGGTTGGTGCAATATAGTATTATAACTATTGGCCGAAATTATCGTGTAGTTTTGGACTGGTTACTGCCAGTGCGTCCACAACTGATCAGAAAATCTACCCTTTTCTCTAGCGATGTCCTTGGCGAATAAATACGAAACTAAGGAAGCCACAACTAATTCATGAGGCATTAAACCAACGCACACAGAAGCTGGTCCTGTTGCTTATTTAGGTGAATTGCGCTACCTAAGACGTAGGAGGTAGTTGCAACAACAGCGTCCAAAACAACGATCTACGGCCCAACAGTGGCAGCATCGGTGCAACATTCGTCACGTTCCTGCCACTTCAGACGAGCTAGATATCTGCAAAACTATAAGTTCCTATGCATAGCTGCTTCAACAAACCCAACACTGTGCGCATTTATTCTTGCGTGACGGGTTTTTTTATCCCATGATTTATCGTATCAGTTAATATTGTGAACTAAGCTGTTTCTCTTAGCTCAATTCGTTTTAGTTCCGCCCTACTTCAACCACTTATATTCAGTGCAACGCAAAATTTGTTTTGGTCCAACCAACTTTGCTTATTGCCAGACCGCCTTCCGGTTGTTCAGGCTTGAAATATTTATTTCACCATATCTACCAGTTTTGTCGCTTTATGGAGTACACGTTACTTATCTGCATCATGTAAATGTAACAACTTTAATATCTATAACAAGCTGCAACTACTTTCACTAAGACGTTTTAATCCAAATTTATTAAGAGTATTTTCGCTAACGCAGCGCAGCGTTTTAGTCTAGCCTGACTGCTAATTCCTACTCCCGGGTGGCTTTCCGACTGCGGATGCGTAAGCAATTTAGTTTAAGATTATATACAAACCCCGTGGCACCAACTGGATGGTTGGAGTTATTTCCAACTAAGCTAATGGTCCAGAAGCGATGTTCCAGCAAGAGCAGGCTTTCGCCCAGCAAGCATTCACCCTAGAATAAGCAACAGACAGCCGTCCAACAAAACCGTGACTTAACGGATGTGACTCACACTAAATAAACTTACTGCCCTAGGCTTCACGCAAGCAAGTTGCTTAGTGTTACAGTTAAGAAATATTCATACAGCCGCTAGTAGATTGTGTCCTATCCGCAAATGCGAACACATTTTAATTTATATGTTATTGCTTCTTATAATGACGACAAATAATTACGTAAATAAATTAACGTAAACTATTGTCATATCAGACAAATTCGTTCCTTAACAAAACCTTCCTTATTTCGGCAACATTTTTACATTTCAGCTATCTTCCCATCGAATGCAATTCAACGTGCAATTTGCGACACAAACGTACTTTTAAAATATTAAGCATGCCTCATATAGTGTGCCCCGATGAAATAAAACATTTTTGTAGAAAGCAGCAACCAAGAGTAAACGTTGCATTATTATTTGCCTCGACGGGAACCCGAACCCCGGACCTACGGATTACCGACCCGCTACTCTACTAACTGAGCTACCGAGGACTGACTATCAGGTGAGCAATTTAATGAATGACTTCCATTTGGTTCACGACGTCTTGCCAATAAGCTCACAGTACTTGTACTGGTGTTGCAGAACTGTGATAATTGTACAAACAATACTCAGTGATTGTTTATTGTTATTCTTCTCCCCTTTTTGATGTAGAATACACACCCGCGAAATTCAAACTCCAATTCTGGTGTTCTTATTCCGAGTCGTGACTAGTTTGGGTGGAGTTCAATTATTTTCCGATTCAGAACATCATAATTGGCGTCGCAGTCAGCGTTTATTTCCAAATGAATACAACCATCGAATTCTTAAACGAAAATGCATCTCCCCGGGAGTTACAAAAATACATGGAGAGATTCAGGTTATGGTGGCTCACAAAAGATGACCTTCGCGAAGATCTTAAATCTGCCCACTTTTTAACTGTTATTGGACGAGAGGCGGATACGCTTCTAAAAAAATCTGGCTTACCCACAGCTGCCATCGAAATTATCATATGACATGTTGCGGGACCTCCTTTTATCTCACTTACTACTGGAAAATTTCGCGGTTGCCGAAAGAGTAAAATTCAGCTTGCTGATCCCTCAACCTAATCAGTCTATTTGTGATTTTATTCTCCAACTTCAATCTCAAGCATCATCTTGTGCATTTAGAGACAAACTTGCCGAATGCCTCAGAGATCGCCTAATTGCTGGAATAAATAATCCCGATTTATATCGTCAGCTCCTATCACTTCCATCACCGACTTACAATCACGTAAAAATCCATCTGTTTGCATTATCACGATGTTTCTGATATTACAAGAAGCCACCTGGATGTGCTTCTGATTTTCCGTAGCTATGGAACGAACGATAACCAGAATGGTGACCGTATGAAGTAAATACTGAGTTATAGTTGAAAACTTCCTTGGCAGCATCAGGAATGCAGTCGATGGTGGAATAAGTAACAGTGGCAAATATACGGTGCCCTGCGCTGTCTATATTGCCAACAGGATGGTACACAAAAGGCTGGTTATATGAATTCAACATACTTTCGATGACCCAGCTCCAGTGTTAGAAATGACAGCCACTTCATCTTAAATTGTGAATCCGCCATCAATGTCACCAGAATTATGTAATCAATAACGAGAGGAAAAGCTAGGCATAGTTAGTTCAATAATCACGTAGAGAACGTTTGGTCTACACAAGTTCGCAGTCAAATTAGCCCACAGTTTAAATACATTTCTTCGTAATACAATCAAACTTCGCTGTTTGCCGCAGTGTTTAGTGCCTTTGATTTATATTCATCAGCTGACATGCGCAAGCCAACACATACAGCCGGCTGCGTGGTAAACTTCCATCATCTCTTGAGAGTGTGGAGCGCAAGCACTGTCACATATTACCTGCACAGACGGCTATCAACAATAAAGGGATTGTTAATACTTCAGAAATCCGTAAATACATTAGAGAACAAGAGACAAAGAAAGTCCAAACTTTCAACGACTGAAACTGGAAGCTGGAGACAAGTGGTATGGATCGAAGAAATTGAATATGGCCACATTTGAGCTCATGCCACGAGATATACACCGCATGAAACTCTCGCACAGTGCAAGGTGACTAGTACCAAATTGTATGGTCTGCAAGACATGGGAAAAATGCCGAACGATGACTGTCTACGGGATGCCATAATCACAAGAAGTTACAAGGGTACCAACGGCTCGGGCTTTAACAAAAGTTGCTTTTGCCTTGTTGTAACACGTTGGGCTACGCGAATCTGGAATACCTATTCCAAAAGCGAGCTTGCCGCTCAAAATTCTCCCTCGATTTACTCCTTACTGTTCATTGTAGTGCACTAGGGTCATTTAACGCAACGCATTGTCTAAGTTAGGCAAGGTATGGGGAAGTAGTATTCCGTGATACTCCACGGAGAACGTTAACGTTTCCTCTGAAACAGCGAGTAGAGTATGTGTTTCTTAGGTAAACCGTGTTAAAGGAATGAACCCAGGTTTGACAAGTGAGAAGAAAGCATTTTAGTGCTGTAAACCTCCCAGACTTACAACCCGCTTTGTTCCCCTTAACACCACAGTGTAGGGACTGAATCATTGTTTCGATTTCTATGCTTTATGCGGCCAAGATCTCAACGAACTCTGCCAAACCGATTTAACCCCTATAAAGTGGTGCATCACGGCTTTAGATATGAGTGGCAGCCAAAAAATTCTCTCGTATCTGTTTCTGTTTTAGTGTTGTCAGATGAACATGCATAATTTTAGTGATTCTTAACAAACAGGATAGCAGGTGCTGTGAGAGTAATGGTGATAGACTAGTTGAGGTTGTGAATGGTTGACTAGTTGATGAACGAGGGACTGCATGCAGTTGCCATTACACATATGGCTATATTGAGAGGAAAACGGAAAGATATTGAACCAAAAACCCGCAGTTCCATTAGCGTTCTCTGGTATATGTTTTACCGTGCAGTCGTAATCTTAATGGCGCATCGCCCATCTTGGCAATCCCCTGGGATCGTTCGAAGACCGGATCCATTCAACGATTTATGGTGTGTCCGTGAAGTTATCGACTTAACAATTACGATCGCTATTTGTCCAGTTCCCAAGTGATTGCGAGACACTTCTTTTATACTGTCAAAAATTTACCTCCTTACAGTGTTTAAACCGTACTGACGCATTAAATCGTTTTATGCTTTTGCTTCAGCATCGCTCCAATTCCGAGGTCTCTAGCGTCTCTAGCTGCAATAAACGTTTCTCCGACGATTGACAGTTTCAACATCAATTCCTGACTCTCCATTTCCTCCTGAATGTCGTCAAACGCTTCCTTGGCTTCTGCTGTCGATTTCCCTTTTGTCATAACGTTTCGCAAAGAGCGGCGCCAAGCTAATAAATTGCTGGCAAATTTACTGTAATATCCGACGCAACCTGAAATCACTTAAAGACCGCGTTTTTATTTTGGAATTGGAGTGGCTTGAATTGTACGTATTTATTTCGGCAGCAGCTTGAGCTCAGCTTGACCCTACTTGTGGTGAACTAGTTCCATAACAGTCCGCCCGATCTGCGAATCGAAAGAGAAGTATGGATGTTGCTGGGCCTTTATTCGTTAAGCTCACCGGGATAAAATTTTGTTGACTGATTTCCGCATGATTGCTCTGGTCGGGTATAATTCTGCGTGATGCTACATAGCCACTCATCAACCAGCATGTACAATTCTGGGTCATTCTGAACTGCAGTGGTTGCATTTGCATGTGACTGACTGGTCAGTGTTTGCTCAGAGATCGTTGAACATAAGTTACCAAACAGATAGATGTATGCGAGGAATAGACACACATCAGGACCATTTACCTAGTGTTGTTCACTGTCGCAGTATTCCAAGGGAAGCATGAAACGGCAGAACTAATTGTCATTTGCATTTGTTGTTAAATGCTACAGCAAGCGCTAATGTAGTTATAAGGTTTGAACTTCGTTGTGTTATGTTATGACTTACTTTAGTAACCGAAGTTTCATGTACTGGAAGGAGAACTGCACATCGATTATTGTAGGTCTGTTAATCAGCTGCTTTCCAGACGCCCAAGTGAAAAGTGTATCCAGAAGTTCCAAAGCTAGCTTATTATCCACACCGAATCGTAGTTATTGAAGCGTTTTACGAAATGTATTTTATCTGATAATCGTAAATTCCATAACTTTCCCTTAAAACATTTTGAATGACGAGTAATATCTGGTCGCCATCTAAAGTCTAACAATGTGACTAACAAGGATATTGACTTTGTTCGCTGAAGCTGATAAGCTATACTAAGGTAGACTAGTCATCCAGAGTCGCAACACTAAATGTACTTATACCGCTTTTGCACCGTTTCGTATACCAAACTTAGTCTGTTATTTTAGTTAAGCAGGTTTGTAATTCCTTCCGAAATATCCACTGCAAGATGCTATTCATCTCCTAACTTCAGGCGCAACTTGCAATGACCAATTTCAAACACAAGTTTGAAATACTTGTGATTAGGTGATTATATATACAGGTACCTGATAAAGCTTCACAATGGCCCCTAAACTTCAAAGTTAAACTTGGAAAATTCGCTAAACTTATTAGTCCTTAAAAACAGCACCAGGACCTGTTAGTAGTGCACATCCATAGGATAGGTCAGTAGCAGAGCCAATGATTACCACGAACATGCGCTACTAGATAGCGGCTTACACCACTGCGTCACAGGGGACGGCGGGCCACCGCGAGTTGCAAAGCAACCGTAATATAGCACAATACTTCTTTCACTGCCATTAAAGTTACAAAAGTTGCAGAGAAATTGACTGGCCACAATAGTGAAGGGCCCCACTAGTGGTAGCTATAAATGACATGGAAGTTGGAAACTGCAATGGCGGTTATAATGGTACTCTCATGAGGAGGGGTTTCGTTATCCTAATTGATCAGTCTTCGAATCAGATTTCAGATGGGATGGATAAGTGCATACCAAGGAAAGCAGTAGAGTTCTGTCTATCTGATTGGGACTTGCCAGCAGTGCACCGGCCTTGTCCACAGTAACGTCCAAGATTCCATGACAATGGAAGATGAGTTGAGCTATGTCATAGTTATTTCGCATCCTGATAGGCTGCTGCCGTCCTACGTGGCTCAATGGTACATGATGATGACTGGTAGTGAAGAACTGTAGTGATTAAAAGTTCACATGCTGGTGGATCCGATGGATGTACCACACTAATGAGTCCCGACAAGACAACACAGCCGGCTAGTACCTTTTGTGGGGTGCAACTTAGTGAATGTTTCAGTTACTCTTACCTAGGCTGTAAGTAAGATGTGAAGTAAGATTCGTCGAACCTGTAATAAATAGTATATCGTTTACCCGTTTTTTAACTTTTTTATCTCTCAGAATATTGCAGATAAGCAAATACCTATAGGGATTAATAGCGCCAAGCTTAGGAAGTAGTATATAATTGGTATTAAAAGGGTATTATTAATTATTATTAGTATTGTTATTGTTGGTATTATTATAGTAGTATATTGGTAGTTCATCATAGTGTGAATCCAACTTGTTGTTGGGCCACCCTAAAGTGAGTCAACTATTAAAATTACCAATAAATGATAAAGGTGGCCTGACAAAGGAAAAATTTGTAATAGTGTTTAAAAGAAATCATGTATACAAAATTGTTCACGATACATAAATCAAACTGACTTATCAAACCTGTAGCGCATACGTTTAGCAACAATTGCCGGTAAACCGGAACCTACCCACAATGCTACGCAGATCGATAGTCTCCAGTCCGTACGTCAAATTCCTGCCGTTACGTGTAACTATCAAAGAACCGTATTCATCGCCAAACTGATACGCCGGTTCTCCACGTATCACTTTGAGAGATTTCAAGGGTATTCGGCGCACCTCGTTCCGGCTCAGGTAAACATAACCACTGACTTCCTCAATTGTATCCAAAAAAGAAAGATCTGGATCCGATCCATTATCTATGGTTTCCATGATGCATAATATAAAGCACATTACCCAGTCTCTTTAGGTCGCAAATAACCAAATTACCCAGAACAAATTTACAATTCCCATAATGATGCTGAAGATACGCCAATGGCACAGTTGACAGGGGTACTTCACCACAGTCACTCAGATATACTCTGCAAGCTACAGAAACCTAGTGAGATGCGCATGACTCACACTTGAATTTGTCATGTTCACGAGAATAAATTTTAGATTCCAGTAGGGCTTTAAGAATCGTAAGAGCTAAATCTCAAGTACTAAACGTACCTAAAAGAAGTATTTCTTGTAAAATGCTTAATTTCATTGAGATATAAAAACTGATAATTTGCGCGCTACATCTCTCACCGCGAACAGAAACTTTGCTTTTAAAAAATGGCTATGGCTCTGAAGGGCATACGTACGCACTTCGAAATAGACAAACAAATAGGTAGACAATAACAACTTACCAGTCAAACGTTCAAACTCTGACTATATTGTTATTGCTTACTTACATATTATTTTACTACTTAAAGTGATCGGGAGCTATTGCCAGAGAAGTTAAAGTGCCTTCTGTATCATTATCAACACGGATTCACGTCCATTATTGTCTGTATGCGAGTTTCCATAAGGTTCGGGTGTGTATGCTATTCATAATATGTTTATGGAACGGCAAAAAGAAAAGATTACTCTCTTAAACAGTGAATGCTTAGTGCAGTAAAATAGGCAACCACTTGTAGGGATCAACAGACATACACGCGTCCAGTCCATTGAAACATTGGACTTTATTCTGGTATATCACCACATCGTTCATTTGTATACCTGGCGCTACAATTCTGATCACTTTCGCTCTTACCACGTATTATGCTGTTAGGCTGATCTTTGCCCTTGCTTAACTACGCCCCATTCTTTGTAGCCAGTGTCAATAGGTGTAGGGTCCAGTCGGTCTGACTTTGCTTCATATTCTATTATTTGGCACACAACCTTCGCTTTACCGCTTGCAACTGGCATCTTAGAAGCACCCCACACATGCACCTCTTTGGTCGTTTGTGTCGCAGAGAGCAGAAAGTGTACCCTCAATCAGCTTCTTCGCTTCCCTTCAGCGCGTGGACGCAGCAAGCTGTCGTCAGGCTGCTTTTGCAATGAACTGCTTTCGTGGTGACGGAAACAGCAGAATCCTTGTTGCTCATACAACTAGGAGTCCTAAGATCTTTCGAAAGGCCCTTAAGTTTGTGCGCGGACGACAGGATCATATGGACTGTTCCTGCCATTCACTACAAATGTCGACAAGGTGAAATCAGAGCGGATATGGAGCGAATTCGTCTTAACCAGTTTCCCATGATGACCAGTTTACAACTGTCGGCGCAGAATTGAATACACCCCTAGGTCTTGCGGCCCATCACACCTCGTAAAATGCGTCCAACGTAATTCATGCCGCCACAGCGACTACGAAACTCCATGGTGAGCAGTTCATAGCTGATGACAGTACTCAAAATTATGGAACACAGAGATGAACTTCGTTGCGCGCCGTTATGCTTTCTGATCTAAAACGCAATCAGCCTTTGCAACCTGGCGGGATTAAGGATGCAGATTTTCAGGATTTGTGCTGTAAATATATGGCTGGCTAGCAGAACGACCTGGCCGTGGTGGCAACTTGATAGTTCGGGTTTACTCGGTTCCGATAAATAGTTCGGCGGCAGGGTTCCAGGATGTATCTGATTTTCGCTGCAAGCATTCCGCCTTTAAATGTCACAAATCTTCTGCTTATAAAGGTTGGGACGAGGCGATCGTGGCACTACTAACTATGGTCACTGCCCGGTGAATATCCGGATAATCATAACATATTCATTGAGGGCAATTAAATAAATAAATAGAGGTTTTAGACCCGGCACTGCGACGCACGCCTGCGAAGACATAAACACAACCATGCAAACAGGCATGGTGGGTAATTTTATAAAGCTACAACGTAGTAACCAATGAACCATTGAAGCCGAAACATAATGCTCAGGCTGATGTTGCATTCTTGATGCTTCATCACCGCGGTTGGGCTAAAACAACTTACACTTAAACTAGGTCTTTTTAAACTGGTTAAACTTCATTCCACTTTATTTGGTTTGTTCTGCCTACCTGAATAATCTTCTATTAACTGTCCACGTTGCTTTCGTTAATTGCGCTTATCGTCGGTAACTTTGTTGCGTTTGTAACAGGTTTAATTAACTTGTGGACATTTCTTACCTATCGCGGATGCGTTGCTAACCAGCTTACTTCATATGGTAATTTAGCGAAGAGTTATGCCACCGTAAGTGCATGCAATATTTGATTTGTTTTATTTCAGCTTGTCGTTGCAAGTGATTGGCTGTTGATTGGTATCCCCGGTGCGGCTGCGCTTAAGGTGCATGTTGACGAGGTGTCTACCTGAATATTACCCACTACTTCGTTCACACTGGCTCTAGGAGACAGTTGGTCGTTGCTGGCGGGGGCGGGGTGCACGGTCCTTGTGGCCGTGCTAGGCTCAAAGAGAGACTCTATGCACTCAGTGTGGAGCGGACTACGGTCCAGCCACCGTCTTGTGTGCGCTTGATTCCCCAAGTACAGCGTGTTTGTGTTTGCCTGTGAAGGAGTGTGGGCCGGCTCCGTCTGTGGAACGTGGTTCCCATCCACGTTCATCCCGGTCTTATCCCATCGGGTTTAAACTGGATATAGGGTGTGTGGTTGGAGCTGTGGGTGGAGCTATGGGTGGAGCAGCGTAAGCCACCCATGGTCCCTCTCGTCTTGTGGCGGACCACAGTGACCAACAAATCCCAAACCGGATGCTGCCAAACATATGTAATGAGAGCCCATGCTGTGGCTTGTGTTGCATTCATAATGTTTCTTCCCCACAGTTGGGCAGGACCAACTTACACGTAAACGAGCTCTTTCTGAGCTGGATAAATAGCATTCCACCAATTTTGCTTCCTTTTACCTGCCTGCATATTCTTCTATTAACTGACCACTTGGCTTGCGCTAATGGTGTTAATCCTTCGTTAACGTTAGTGTGTTGGTAACATGTTTTTAATAACCTCCGGACAATTTGTGTTTATCGCGGATCCCTTGCTAACCAACCTACCACAAAAGCTAATTTCGGGAAGAACTAAGTCTGTGTCGTCGTATGTTTTAACAGATATACTTTATTTGCTATCGTCCTTTCGAATGATTGGCTGTCGGTTGACATCCCTGGAGTGCCTGTGTTTGATGCGCATGTTGACAAGGTGGCTACTTGCTTACTACCCACTACCTCATTCATACTGCCTCTATGAGATGGTTGGTGGTTGCTGGAGTGGACGGGGTGCAAGGTCCTGCTGGTCGTGCTTAGCTGAAAGCGTGGTTCCATGCACTCAGTGTGGAGTGGACTACGCCCAGCCACCGCCTTGTGTGCGCTTGATTAACAAATAAAGCGTGCTTATGTTTGAATGTGAAGGAGCGTGGGACGGCTCCGTTGAAGAAATGTAGCTCCAATCCACCTGCTTCCCGGTCTTATTCCTTCCGGATTACAATGGATATGGGGTGTGTTTTGAGCCGTGGTTGGTGCAGCTCAAGACGCCGGTTGTCCCTCTGTAGGCGCAGTGATATGCAATTCTAAAACCGGATGCCGCCAAACATATGTGTCGCTAAGCTCCATGACGCCGATCCGCATGAGTCAACAAACTGGTTAGGTGCGAGACCCGCTGCCTACTGGGTGTGCTTAGTTTCGAAGGCTTTGGCTGCGGACCCGAGTCGTTCTACTGTCAGTTTTGGGCGCCCTGCCAATATCCTAGTCCATCCTCTTCGGAGGTTAGAAAGTGGTCCATTACTCTGTGCCCTTAATACTTAGCCATGGGAGACTACAGGTCGACGGGATTTAAGCTCTTGCTACATTAGCGTGGAGCACGGGCGCTTACGAATGTTCTGTGGCTTGCTACTGCCCGCCTTAAGCCAAGCAGCCCCTGGTTAAATTGGTGTAAATCCGCCAAAGCCCACCTGCGTCAAACCGTGGTCGCAGGTGCTTTTCCTACTGCGGTCACGAACCATATTTGCATCGTTCCAATACCCCAAAGGCTACTTGTGAAGGCCGGCAAGCATATCCAGAGGTATCTTAAGTCGCGTTCCCGAGCTGGATCTGCTCCCCACTCCGTTGCTTCTCAGGTTATCGAGCTAAAGCCTCCGGGCCGATTCCCTCAACCAAACATCCAAACCACCCACTCACTTGTGGGTCAGGCTTTGGAGCCAAAGGCTCCGGGCAGAGTACATTAGGCTAACATCTAAATCCCTCACTGCCTTGTGGGTCAGGCTAGTGAGAAACAGGTTCCGGATGGAGAGGCAAAAGCAACCCTCCGAAGCACATCCGCCGCCTCGCTTGCGATCGCCCACCAATGCAATCCTGCGATTGCGCAAAACGCGCTCAGCATCAGGTGCGGGAACGTTCTCAACCTAAGCTACCGGAACTCGTGTGAGCCCCCGGAGCGATGCACTGCACTGGTCGCAAAGGAACTGGCGCGTTGCGACACCGATATTGCGTCGCTCAGTGAAACTCGGCTCGCTGAGCAAGGTACGTTGCATGAAGCAGGTGCTGACTGAACATGCGACTAAGGGGCAACGCCTGCTTAGCACAGCATGAACATGGGGTCGGATATTAAATATCCGATCGCTCCATCGTCAGCTCGTGAGTGAGCCAACAAGCATCAGCGCGCGACTGGTGGCTTTGTGTCTACGACTCGGAATAGGTAAGTTTGCTACTTTTTATAACCACTAAAGGTCCGACCATGTGGTATCCTGGTGACGGGTGATAAATTCTACACTCAGACATCCTCTGTGATACGGTCTTTGTCGAGCAGCGACCGACCATTTCTGCTGCTTGATATTAATGCGCGCGTTGGGCTTGATGCATCGGTGTGCACCGATGTCATCGGTCCGCATGGCAATGGTTTAGCGAATGCAAACGGTGACATGCTACTCGCATTGTGTACCGCTCACTGCTTGACGATCATGAACACTCGATTTGCATTGAGTGCGAATGATCTAGCAAATTGGAGGCACGCACGGAGGGGTCACGCGCACTGGTTCGACTTTGTCCTCGTACGTCAACATGATATGCGTGAAGTGCGCATGACCCCTGTGCTGCGTGGAGCTGAGTGTGACACTGGGCACAAATGGGAGCGGACCAAACTGTGCATATACTTTCGTAACTTTATGTACTGTGGTACTGGGGTGCAATGTATTGAGCTGGAGAAGGCGATTGCTGCACGCTTTCGGGATGTGGACTGCCTAGCCACAGCGGGTGACCTGTAGCACCACATTCGCGACCAGGTGACA